TAAGCTCATATCATAAGCAATCAAAATATAGAATCAACTTGGTACANATGCTCAACTTGGATAGACACGCTAGGGACATCTTGCCTGCTAAGCTGCATGGACACGGACACGGGACACAGATATGACACGACACGGACGCGTTGAGACGACATTTTTAAAAAAAGGAAACAAACACATTGGGGATACGTACAAAAANACATGATGATTGCACACTCGAGAATTCATGCAAATGGCAACATTGATAACGAAAAAGACAAATCAAACCTATTTACATTGATAGGAAATATATCATGGCATATAACGCTCTCATCAAGAGAATGAAAAATGATGCCAATAGTAATGTTCAGATAAACAACATAAATCTTGGTGAACATTTTCTGCCTCGGTACCAAACATATAACAAAGCAAAATAAACGAATAAAATTCGTTGTGATGAGGGAATACATGATAGGCATCACCAGAACTACACAAACACAAGCATTCACATACGCTCGCACTCAAGAACCCATGCAAATGGCAACATTGAAAACGAAGAAGACATAAATCAAATCTATTTACATTGCTAGGGAACATATCATGGCATNTCATCAGTGTGAATTTTTACACAAGCATCCTCAAAATAGTCAATAATTATCAATTTTTTTTTGTAGACATTGTGTACTTAATATATAATTTCTCTCATTTTCTCAATTCTTTTTTTTTAGAACTTTTATACATCTTTTGTTTTTATTATTATATTTAAAGTATAACTTTAACATGTCTAGTGTTTATAATTATATGTTCTCAAATTTTTTAAGTATTGTTAATCACATTTCAACACATGTTTATTATTTAGTAGTAGATATGTTTTAAAGAATTGTCGAACACGTTACCAAAGAAGTGTCGGACACGTNTCAACAGCCAAACAACAAGCAGAAGATAATTGCATTTTAAAATAACCACCAAGTGCATTACAAAGCATACAAGAATGTCAGAAAAGGAATTGAAGCCCAACTTTGTAGAGAGTTAAAGGCCTCACCTGTAAAGGCAAATCATGGCATATATAACAGAAACCTTGGGGAAAGTTCAAGTGGCGATTTGACCATCATATAATTCCGTACAACAAAATGTTCTAGTTGTGAATCATAAGTNCTTTCTTGAGAGTGCCCGTGGTTCATAGCTTGCCTGGCTGCTGGTTAGTTATGTGCAATATGGAATAGGCGCGGTACGTTCTACTCCTTGTCCCAAATTGGGTAGAGTTGCAGCGAAACGCTTGTATGTGGCCATCACACTCTCTTAGATCATNTTTCGTGAGTTATAATTGTGTTGTAATGTTTGGCATGGGTTCATATATGCAGCTTAACTCACGTGGAGGTAGAAGAAGCAGGCATCAAAGATGAGACTCTGAGATTCCTACACTAAATGTGTANATGTGCAATGAAACTCTGGCATGAGTTCATTCCACCACCATGCCTGATAAGCTATGTGATCCTGTGGGAGGCAAATTGGTACCGAAACTTCTGGGTTTAGAGAGCAAGGCCCAACATATTTGTAAATGGTATTGCATGTGGTTTCGTCGATAGGTCATGTCGTGGGGACCCAATATGGGCTGCTATGCCATGATCGGGCCGAAAATGGGAGATACTATTGCCGATTTAACACACACCTCTGACCCATGTCACTNTGTAGGATCTTAATATACAAGCATAATTGGGTATATAACTTCTTGCATTTTCTCATGCAGACAATCATGAGGAATTACTCAATACCTCAAGAGTTTTTGCGTAAAACAAACGATATNGAGCTGCTATGCCATGATCGGGCCGAAAATGGGAGATACTATTGCCGATTTAACACACACCTCTGACCCATGTCACTCAACTTCATGCCCATGTTCTCTGTACTAGTAACCTACACGCAAGATTTACTCAACAGAAGCCTCCACTAGCATTTCAGCCAAAGTGGGCACACTTTTCCCTTTTCAAAGGCCCTTCTTTTCCAAATTCCTCTACAAGTAACCATGCCCCAAATTCAGAAAAGGACACATAGCACAAAACTTGAACACCAAACCCTCTTGTGAATGCCTCTTTGTACCAGTTCACTTTGGCCTTCAAAAGCTCCTTGTCACTAAAATAGTTCTTCTGTACATTCTCTCCTTAGCATGTTTTCTTGTTTTCCCTTTTCTCCTTTAAGTCCTCAGAGCACCTGTTGGAAACAATGCTTACCTATGTACGAAACCTTGTCGACCTACTCTATTGCATTCCGGACTCCCCTACACCTCACATTCACCATGGATTATTGGGATTCTTTTGTGTAACAGCTCCTGTAATCTGAACCCACTACTTTAGGGTCTGACTATGTTTTGACAGAAGAGGTTTCTTACCCTCAAATGTTTGGAGGTTCCACTAACAAGTGAACTGCTATACTCACCAAAAAGCAGCAACTGGCTCAAGCTCCCAACAGACCGAATCATGATTGAAAGACCACTCCTAATTGGATGAAATCATGGATGCTCTTGAGTCTTGACGATTATGATTGCCTGAATTACTGATGCTTATTTCTCCAGTTTCTAGACCATGAGTTATTCTCTACAGTAATCTTATATGGATTTTTGAATTCATTAATGATCCTAGTTANTGCTAGATCATATAAAACACCATAGAAACAAAAGCAAGGAAAAAGTAGGTATGCCCTTAGTTCTTAGACATGATAAAATACCTCTAACTAGTTGTGTTGAAAGTTCGAAACAACTTTTTTATTGCAAAGCTCCCTTTACCTATTGATTTCCAAACACTTAAGTTACTTTACTTTTCAAACTATGGGACCTAACAGATGGATGGTTGGAAATAAAGACGAAAAGAAAAGACAATTAGGTAGAACCTACAGTTATGGATTACACAATAATGCCATGAAACACATTGTCAAAAATTTCTGNTATACGAGTGTTGTAAACGCATGCTTTTCAATGTAAAACTGCGAGTTCAAAACAAGCTTTCTGTAGAATCATGTTGATCACACGAAATCAACACACTAAATCATGGGGAAAGCATGATCCACTCATCTACCCCGCTGAATTTGAAAGAAAACATGATTCATATGTCAACAATTTGTTTTTAAAACTTGTGTCATTTTCTTGTTGGATGCATGTTTAGCCACGAAAGGACTCCTATGGATGAGGCAGTGAGTAGGGGAAAGATGGATGTCATCGATGCGATCAACACAGCAGTGGCACAAGTTGATCTCACTGGCACAAGTGTGTCCTGATATTGGAACTCTTGCAAAGAAAGGTGAAAGAGTAGGTGAAGTGTTTCTTGTGTGTTTATTTATTTTATATTTTTCTCCTCCAGATTGCCAGAAGATGATGTAGGCATCTTGCTTACTGTTTAAATTGGCATTCCTCAGTTTTCTACCATAACAAGCACTTGGTTAAGGTATTTAGGCATCTTTACTATTGATTTTATTGTTTGTGGCTTGAGTTGGTAAGTAAGAACAATGTTACACAGGCTTAAAATGTAAACTTGAAAATCATAACCATTGAGATAGTGAATTCTAATAAATGTTGAAACTCGCAGTAAAATCAATGAATATAATTATTAAGTTTACTTTTTAAGTCTAATTTTTAAATTTATGTAACATTACTCTAAAATGTAAACTTAAAAATCATAACCATTGAGAGAGTGAATTCTAATAAATGTTGAAACTCACAGTAAAATCAATGAATATAATTATTAAGTTTACTTTTTAAGTCTAATTTTTAAATTTATGCAACATTACTCTAATAAAGAATGGTGGAATTAAAGAATAGACACACACAAACACATTCTCTAATGGTGTGTGTATGCGTGGTGCACTCTCTCTCTCTCTCTCACTACAACAATAATACCACGAGACAAGGCAATATAATATCACCTACCAATAATACTAAAACAAATAAATAAATAAAAATCAATAACAAATGCGCCGTGGCGGAGCATTTTAACACTACACCGGGTTTTGTCATCGTGTACACCTCCAAAACCTAGAATATATGATATAATTCAGTGGCCTCAAGTTTCTGATCATGGTGGGTTGNGTAAACCGAAGGTGGTGAGCAGAAGTGGGTGAAATAGAACCACATTATGGGCTCAAGACAACCTTATTGCTGAAATTTGTGAGGTAAACACAACCCCAAATTCCACCATAGCAAAATTAAAACCACCAAAGTGCTATGAATTCAATAGATTGCAAGGTTGTCCAACTAGCAGAAATGTAATGAGAAAGTAAAGATCTCTGGAAAAGATATCCATGAAATGTCCTNATGCATGCGAGCAGGAAGTTGACAGACAAAAATGAGCGTCTCTGATAAAATAGAAACCCCCCATGTACTGAAGCTATTGTTTTGATCAACAAAGTTCACAATTACGCTCAACAGAAGTAATCTATAAACATTTGTCTATAAATTATACACTTTTATTTACATGCATATATACTACTAAACACACGATTTATTTTGAAGGACAACTACAAATTTACAACCATAGACAATAATAAAAAATANCATTGCAATTTTGGGAACTTGACATAATCAATCTTTGGTACTAGTTGGAAGAAAATAATAAACAAAGTACATTGATTTTCTTTTTATCTGACAGTAAATAGGGGAAGACTATGTAGGCAACAAATCAAAAATGTTCATGAGGAAAAGTGTTTATCTGGAAGACAATTACCACAAAATATGCTCATGNAAAAAATGTCATCAACAATGCCAAATACGACCACGGCAGAGGGCGATAGTGCTACAAATATACCTCAGTGAACCATTCAGATCCATAAATTATGCCCTATTTATCAAACTTAAATATGAGATGCATTGCTGTTTTCTACAAGGTAAAGCACTTGATCAATGAACTGATTGTTAGTAGTAGCATATGACGAAACAACGAAAGACACATTTTTTTCCTCATAATAGAGTGTGAGCATTTGCAGTTCTTTCCCACCATATTAAGCTCATATCATAAGCAATCAAAATATAGAATCANAGGCAAATATAAGTGAGAACCAAGGGAAGCTAGGATTCTAGGAAGGCATTTGTGAATAAAATACACTTCTAAAAAAAAGACTTAAACAGAAACCCTACGGATAACAAGAAGATATACAGCTGAGAAACAATACTACACTGTTATTCTCTCTCGTAGCCATTGTATCTATGGCTTCAGAAAGGAATTGTCAGTTTATTGGGTTACCGTAGTTTGAACCTCCAATCAATCCGGCAGTGGAAGCACCATAGACATCAGAAGGGTCAAGAATCGGAGAAGATGACGAAGCCCCATTTCTTCCGCCACCGTTTCCACCACCTCCACCCAAATGCAACTCGGAAATATTAGGAAACCCATCCCTTGATTCAACTCCTTGATCATATAAGAACCCTTTGAAGACATGTCCACCGATCTTCACAACCGCCTGATAAGCATATTCATCGTCGCCGTCGTCCACGGCGGTGACTCGAACACACTTGAACACCGCCGGCGCTCGTATCTGGCCTGGCAACGAGTCTTTAAAACTTGCATCTATAAACAATTCAACAAAACCCTATTGAGTTTCACAACTCAGAAACCTGGGAATTTTATGGAAATCATGAATATATANCAGCATGATGATTGCACACTCGAGAATCCATGCAAATGGCAACATTGATAACGAAAAAGACAAATCAAACCTATTTACATTGATAGGAAATATATCATGGCATACAACGCTCTCATCAAGAGAATGAAAAATGATGCCAATAGTAATGTTCAGATAAACAACATAAATCTTGAACATTTTCTGCCTCAGTACAAAACATATAACAAAGCAAAATAAACGAATAAAATTCGTTGTGATGAGGGAATACATGATATGCATCACCAGAACTACTACACAAACACAAGCATTCACATGCGCTCGCACTCAAGAACCCATGCAAATGGCAACATTGATAACGAAGAAGACATAAATCAAATCTATTTACATTGCTAGGGAACATATCATGGCATNACACACATAGGGAGAGGGGGGGGAGAGAGAGAGAGAATACAGTGGAAAGATCATACCTTGGTGACTAGAACTCGTGTCATAGCTTCTTGGAGGAGTAGTGTTAGAAGTTGAAGTATGTGAGGTGGTGGTGGTCTGTGAAGTGATGAGTCTAGGCTTCTTAGCACCCGAAGTAGACCCAGAAGACCCAGCTGCGGCGGCGGCAGAGGTCATGAGCTGCCGTTCACGGCGGCGAGCGGCTGGAACCCAAGTACTTTTCACATGTGTAGCACAATCAAAGCCTCTACTTTTGCAACAAGTCCTGCACCTTCGGTGGCTACAATCTTTCTTCGCTTGGTTGCCACAGTCTTGGCATGTTGCCACCGANTACATTACAAAGCATACAAGAATGTCAGAAAAGGAATTGAAGCCCAACTTTGTAGAGAGTTAAAGGCCTCACCTGTAAAGGCTAATCATGGCATATATAACAGAAACCTTGGGGAAAGTTCAAGTGGCGATTTGACCATCATATAATTCCGTACAACAAAATGTTCTAGTTGTGAATCATAAGTGCATAATCCAAAACAAAGTGTTTGCGCTATTATCGTGAGTTATATTTGTGTTGTAATGTTTGGCATGGGTTCATATATGCAGCTTAACTCAAGTGGAGGTAGAAGAAGCAGGCATCAAAGATGAGACTCTGAGATTCCTACACTAAATGTGTACAAAAAAGAAGGAAATTGCATTAACATTATCTCAACCGTGACTGAAAAATATGCACATGCTAAATAAAAGATTAACAAGAGACATTACTTATATCAAAAGATAAAGGAAAAAAATATATAAATGAAGGGAAAGAAAGGGAGGATATAAGAGTGTATCCTAAAAACTTTAGGATCTTAATATACAAGCATAATTGGGTATATAACTTCTTGCATTTTCTCATGCAAACAATCATGAGGAATTACTCAATACCTCAAGAGTTTTTGCGTAAAACAAACGATATAGTCCAGTTATTTGCATGTCTGATTTCAAACATAAGCTTTACCACTAGCTATGACCCAATTAGGAAAAACAGCAGGAGAAAATACCTCATCGAAATCATGTTACACGTCCGTTGATTCAAGGATCCTTCTTTCTTATAACACTTAAAAATGAAAATAAAACAAAAGCTATAGCATTCATAAAGTTCATTAACATTATAATACTAGATTAAACAATAACAAATTTATGACCATAGTTTTAAGTGTCAAATTAACCATTGTTCCAAACAAAAACTAAAATCAACAACAAAGTTCAGGTAACAAGGGTCTTTTGATAGATGACAGTGACCATAGACACATCAAAATTTATTCATAAGCATAGTGCCTATAGATAAAAACATATGCCCATCATCCAACAATAAAATGAAAGTTTAAAGGTCAAACTTGATGCATATAGCATTCGTACAGATCGATTTTAAAATATGAACAAATTTACACCAAATTCATGAGTGTAAAATTAATCACTAATCAACTGAAAAAGCAAAACCAACAGCAAATCATGGCAACAAGGATTTAGTCCAATTGATGGCAGTGACCATAAAGACATTAAAATTTATTGAGATACAGTGCACATGAATAATTATGTATAGCACCTAATACTCCAGGAGACTAAACTGAAAAAACCTACAGACATTGCTAGATCATATAAAACACCATAGAAACAAAAGCAAGGAAAAAGTAGGAATGCCCTTAGTTCTTAGACATGATAAAATACCTCTAACTAGTTGTGTTGAAAGTTTGAAACAACTTTTTTATTGCAAAGCTCCCTTTACCTATTGATTTCCAAACACATAAGTTACTTTACTTTTCAAACTATGGGACCTAACAGATGGATGGTTGGAAATAAAGACGAAAAGAAAAGACAATTAGGTAGAACCTACAGTTATGGATTACACAATAATGCCATGAAACACATTGTCAAAAATTTCTGCTCGCCAGAACTATATACCTCAGCAATCAACACTACAAGTACTATGGCATACAATGTTGGAAGATTTCTGGTCACAAGACCCGTATACCTCAACAGTTTATGCATCCATAGCTTGCAAAGAGTGTAGCAAAGACATTAAGAGCAATTATCTCTAACACAAACATGAGGCATGTCACACGGCCCTGAGATGCGAATAACTGAAATTAAAAATGGGAGACAAGAGAGCATGGTCATGGAACATATATGCTGTCTTAAGCAGCAAGAAAAGTAACAGTTGGACTTGTCTCATAACAAAAGAATACAGAAAAATTCTAAAAACTATTGTGGTTCTAGTTTATATATGTCTACCAACATGATGACATTGTGTGCAGAATATACACCAAAATTGGCAGTATTCTTAAGACAACATTACATCCTAAAGGGGTTGGCATGCATAGGAATACTTAAAAAAGCAAAGCTGCACTGAACAATAGAATAACATTATTTAATCCATGTTGGTCAACATTTTTTTCAAAATATTGTAGCCTAAAAGTTGGTTGACACTAACTCAACATTATCTTCGTTACACAAGCCAAACAAACATCCCGACCAGCAAACCTGGTGAGCAGGTATGCATAGGCCACGCACTGACAACAATAGTCGGTGCAAATATTCCAGACATTGCATAGTCCTTATTCACCACTTGAATATAAACCTGGAATGAGGCAAAAACAAATGAATATTCAACTACAAACACAATGCCAAATAAACTGTCATGCAACTACAGAATAAATGTCACAATACATCAGGAAAGTGGACATACCAAAATTAGTAAGACTGTTCACTAAAACATTGTGCTTTCAAATTAATTCATCGTCATAATTGAATAGCATAAAATAGGAAGATCTTTTATCCATCCCGCCTTGAATGCATGATAATAGTGTTGTCCCAACTACTTATCACCAATATTTCAAGCAAACCGAAGGTGGTGAGCAGAAGTGGGTGAAATAGAACCACATTATGGGCTCAAGACAACCTTATTGCTGAAATTTGTAAGGTAAACACAACCCCAAATTCCACCATAGCAAAATTAAAACCACCAAAGTGCTATGAATTCAATAGATTGCAGAAATGTAATGAGAAAGTAAAGATCTCTGGAAAAGATATCCATGAAATGTCCTTCCTCCTTCAGAAATAAATGATGGTGACATTCCAACAACTATCAATAAAGTGTAATGAGGAACTCCCCCATTAGCTTCCGGTTGACGATGAACCAAACTAAGCATCCAAACCAAACAAAATGAAGTGAAGTGTTTGGACTGGTGCATTGCAATTTTGGGAACTTGATATAATCAATCTTTGGTACTAGTTGGAAGAAAATAATAAACAAAGTACATTGATTTTCTTTTTATCTGACAGTAAATAGGGGAAGACTATGTAGGCAACAAATCAAAAATGTTCATGAGGAAAAGTGTTTATCTGGAAGACAATTACCACAAAATATGCTCATGTGACAGTATTATTGATGATGAACAACACTTTAGACTGTTGATTTGACTTGTAATATCAAAAAAACTATATGACCAAATAAAGGCATAATTCATGAAGAAAATGAAAATGAAAAAGCAGATAATATAGCCAAAAATTCTAAACTACATCAAATTTTGTATACCCTATTAACAAGATTTATTAATAATGACAAGAATAGATAGTTTTTTTTTTTTTTTTTCCGTGGGAAAATATGATGAGCCTCCAAGCAAAATATCAAAGGCAAATATAAGTGAGAACCAAGGGAAGCTAGGATTCTAGGAAGGCATTTGTGAATAAAATACACTTCTAAAAAAAAGACTTAAACAGAAACCCTACGGACAAGAAGAAGATATACAGCTGAGAAACAATACTACACTGTTATTCTCTCTCGTAGCCATTGTATCTATGGCTTCAGAAAGGAATTGTCAGTTTATTGGGTTACCGTAGTTTGAACCTCCAATCAATCCGGCAGTGGAAGCACCATAGACATCAGAAGGGTCAAGAATCGGAGAAGATGACGAAGCCCCATTTCTTCCGCCACCGTTTCCACCACCTCCACCCAAATGCAACTCGGAAATATTAGGAAACCCATCCCTTGATTCAACTCCTTGATCATATAAGAACCCTTTGAAGACATGTCCACCGATCTTCACAACCGCCTGATAAGCATATTCATCGTCGCCGTCGTCCACGGCGGTGACTCGAACACACTTGAACACCGCCGGCGCTCGTATCTGGCCTGGCAACGAGTCTTTAAAACTTGCATCTATAAACAATTCAACAAAACCCTATTGAGTTTCACAACTCAGAAACCTGGGAATTTTATGGAAATCATGAATATATACACACACATAGGGAGAGGGGGGAGAGAGAGAGAGAGAATACAGTGGAAAGATCATACCTTGGTGACTAGAACTCGTGTCATAGCTTCTTGGAGGAGTAGTGTTAGAAGTTGAAGTATGTGAGGTGGTGGTGGTCTGTGAAGTGATGAGTCTAGGCTTCTTAGCACCCGAAGTAGACCCAGAAGACCCAGCTGCGGCGGCGGCAGAGGTCATGAGCTGCCGTTCACGGCGGCGAGCGGCTGGAACCCAAGTACTTTTCACATGTGTAGCACAATCAAAGCCTCTACTTTTGCAACAAGTCCTGCACCTTCGGTGGCTACAATCTTTCTTCGCTTGGTTGCCACAGTCTTGGCATGTTGCCACCGACCCAGACCCACCAATCCCACTTCCACCACCGCCACCGCCACTACTTTGCATCAAATTTGCTGCATTAGAGTGATCCAGCATCATGGGTTTCTTGAGATAATTGGAGTGTTGTGTCGGTTGGTTCTGCCAGAGCTGAATTCCAATACTTCTATTACGATTCAAGACATCCTCGTCTACACCCATGTTTGCAGTGAGAAGAGGGATGACGCCGACTCCGACGCCGAGAGCGGTGTTGGCATTCGACGGAGTGATCGAATGATCAAAGTTAAGGGGTTCTTGGTGTTGGTTATTGTGGTGGAATGAAGAGGCCGGTGCGACAACAAAGACATCTCGGAGACCCACCATACCCATCTCAGGTGGAAGGCCATAGTTAACCTGTCTTGTGGAGGAGGACCACATTCCACCACCGCCACCGCCGGTATTGCCACCACCACCGGCGGTGGGGGCGGCATTGAAGCCTAAGGAGAGGTCGCCAGCAGAGGATGAAGCCACCCAGTCTGCAAAAGCACCAGAATCTGAAGCTAACCTCCTGCTAGTAGCCACAACTGCAAATTCTTCTGATAACAATCCAAACGTTTATATATATATAAAAATATCTATATGTAGATATACAGACGCGGGTAGATATCACAACAGAAGAAATAAAGTGCCAAAAACTCTTTAACTCTTTAGAAATTTGTCTATCTATGTAGGTATTATGTAAAAGTGGGGTCTCTGAAATTCTTTCAGAAGAAAGATTTCTAGAGGGAGAGAGAGAGAGACAGAGAAGAAGATCTGGTTAGGTATGACTTTCTAGTTTCTATATCTCACTTTCTCTCTCTAATTACTGCTGATACTGAGACTGTGCTGGGGTCTGCTTCATCTGTTGAGCTTCTGCTACTACTACTTACCACTGTCACCTGGCTTTTTTGATGAAAAAAGTTTCTTCGAGAGAGCGACTACTAAGTTTTTTAGCCAGTGATAGCAGAAGGGTTAGAGAGAGAGAGAAGGGGGAGAGAGACGCAATAACGACCCCTCCACCTCTATCTTTCTTCTGTAGTTTCAGCTGTTGTTATTGTTGGTCGACCTTTCTCTCTCATCATCATATTCATCTCCATTTCTCCTAGTTCTTCCTCTCTGAGCTTCTTTATCCCCCCTCCCCCCACTCTGTCTGTCTCTCTCTCTCTATGCTCTAAGGAAAGCGAAGTTGAGGTGGGTTCCTCCCTACCACTTCTTAGACACGCACACAAACACTCTCTCTCCAATAATCACACTAACTAGAGTTGGAGAGAGAAAGTGCATAAAGACTTTTGTTCTCTGGCTTTTGTAAGTTTATGGAGGCTCTTAAAGTCACATGACACCTTTCATCGAACTTCTTCACATGTTGGACCCGACCATTCTTAGATCCGATTTGTTAGCCAAACATAAATTTGGCTTGAATTAGAGGTTTCAATTTTCAATAATACTATCTGTAATTAAAAAATTAATATAATTTATTAACATAACGATGTGATAAATAATATAATCAAAACTTAATTTATTGATCTAAACTTTGAATTGACTGTGAGTTCTACCAAACATTTAAATTTTTGATGTTAATCCAATAATTCTAATGAAATTACGTTATTAGATCAAATTTTTAAATTCAATTATCATTGGTCAAATGATTAAGTCTGATACTTACCGTCACAATAATACGATTAGACCATATCACTAATATATCATTAGGTCAAATTAGATCATTTTTTTAAGGAGAATAGATCTTTTACAGACAACCCGTAAACAATTCAATCAAAATTAAGAAGTTATACAAACTCATCGAGAATCTTCAACATTGATTTATATGTTTGCGTAGTTCTTCAAGTTTGATTGACTACTGGAAAGAATAAAATTCAAATAGCATTTACTATTTAATTTTTCAATAATATTATTTAGTCATAATTTATTGACATAATCACTCATAATCATTAGATTAATCATGGATCCCAGTATTTATTAGAATTTATTATTCATTCAATAATTATGATGAATTAAAATAACAAATTAAATCAATAAATTCGATTTAAATAACATTACTTTTAATTTTTTTTCAAAGAAATTTTGTAAGGCAATGTCATATTAGGAATGTCCAGGCAGAATAAACTCCATTTACTTAAAATTAACAATCCATCACATGTATTAGTTAACCTTAAGAGTCATTAAGTAGAGTTGAACATAGGACTTTTTGAATTTACATTTGGCTCAAGTTAACCATACTCTACTAGATTCCTCATACATGTATAATCTTAATGAGTTTTAGTTATAAACAACTGAATTCGTTAACTTGATAAATAAATAAATCAACATAAATTTTACTAAACACGACTTATACGCGAGATTCTTTTCTCCTCCATTTTGCATTTTTTGAGTTATGCTATACAATTTAAATAAAAATAAAAAATTATAATTTAAATGCATATCATTCTTTATATGACTTGAGAGTCCTATTAATTTTTTTTAGTAAGACCCACAATTTTTGACTTCCATTTAGATTGCGTAGCATTTTTTATTCAACGGTCAAGGTATTTGAATTAGATTATATATATCTCGATTAATTTATTTATTTATTTATTTAATTAAAGACAAATCATACACGTTGAAACTAAAATTATTTTTCTTTTGTTTTGGCCCACCCTTCTTAAAGCGCGTGTGGCAAAAATGAGAAGTCCAATTTTGTTAATGTACTTAAAGATTCATAAAAACAAATTGGATGAATCCGCACATGTGGTAGGTCAGCGTAATTAATTACAGACCTAGGAAACTACTATTGCTTACAAATGAAAATTTTATTGGTTAGGTGGTACGATTTTATAAAATAGATTCTACAATTATAATTTCTTTTTCTTTTTGGAGGGTATTCTAAGGGTATATTACTCATTCAATACAACTTTAAAAGTGTATTTGTTTAACAAGGTTGGAGTGGATTAAATATTTAAAAATATATTATTTTCTATTCAATTCAAACTCACTTAGTTGTCATCTATATAAGATATAAATTACTGTGTTCAATCATTTATCCTATTTGGGTAGATTATACATATTTGTAAGACCTATCGATAAGAGTAATGTAATTTATTTTCCTTGACTATTATACACGTATTTTATCCAATCTACTATCATATTTGATTTATAAATTAGCCTCCAACTCATTCCTAACAGAAAAAAAATTTAATTTCACATCTATTTTTTTAACAACTCAATTAAATATTTTTAAATATATTGTAACCATAAAATATATACCTTAGTAACCATTCAAGTTAACAACATAAAATGTTTAAAATATTAACGACGGAAATCTCTTGATCTAGGGGTGGGCATATTCGTAAATTCCATTACATATCCCGTCTGACAAAAAAATATTCTAGCTCCTCCTTGAGTTTTATTTAACCTATGTACGTGGGTTAAAGTTGATTTTTCAAACCGGATTAAGATAAAATTTGAATAAGATTTCCTATACATTTTTTTCTTACCAAACATGAAATATATAAACCTCATATATTTCTCTATTATATCTTATTACAGTTATCTACCTTTAACCTGCGATTCAAACATACACCAATTCTTTTAACAAACTGGTTCTAATGAGACATTGCCTCAAGCAATTATATGTGATATTTTATAACCGATCATTTATTATGTAATTGACTAAATTGTCCATTGATCATGTATACGTGATATTTTATTAGGAATAGAAAAATCATTTGACATAATTAACCTAGACTNATTAAAAATGGGAGACAAGAGAGCATGGTCATGGAACATATATGCTGTCTTAAGCAGCAAGAAAAGTAACAGTTGGACTTGTCTCATAACAAAAGAATACAGAAAAATTCTAAAAACTATTGTGGTTCTAGTTTATATATGTCTACCAACATGATGACATTGTGTGCAGAATATACACCAAAATTGGCAGTATTCTTAAGACAACATTACATCCTAAAGGGGTTGGCATGCATAGGAATACTTAAAAAAGCAAAGCTGCACTGAACAATAGAATAACATTATTTAATCCATGTTGGTCAACATTTTTTTCAAAATATTGTAGCCTAAAAGTTGGTTGACACTAACTCAACATTATCTTCGTTACACAAGCCAAACAAACATCCCGACCAGCAAACCTGGTGAGCAGGTATGCATAGGCCACGCACTGACAACAATAGTCGGTGCAAATATTCCAGACATTGCNTTGTATGTCAAAAATTGTCAATATAAATTACATTATGTGATTGCATGAGGTTTAGAGCATTGTGTTTTTCATTTGGTGGTCATTTTTTTTAAAAGAAAAGAGCCTCGCCCCTTTTGGGTTGCCACTTTTATCTCTAGATTTTCTAATGCCTCCTCCTTCCTTCTAAGTAAAGAACTTGCAAGTTTGTGCAAGGTTTTCCTTAATCCCTTCCATCTCTCTCTCTCTCTCCACACACACACACACAAAGCAATTCTTTTATGTCCCACCCTAGTTTTGTTGGGATTTGGAAAGGACTCACCCTCTCATTGTCTAACTTATAGCTTATTAGTATTTTCTTGGTTGTGACTAGTTGTAATTAATTCCTCTTTTTCACCTCTATAATTGCACCCATGATAAGGAATCATTTCCGTGACTGGCTTTCGGCAGGGAAGAGTAAAATAATCCACCATTTACTAATGGCTTCGTTTTCATACCATGGATTTACATCGTCCAAGATGATGATGTTCCTCCGACAACATATTGAATTATTCTCTATCATTTCATTCTATACTTTACCCTTTCTTTTGTTTTGTTTTGGGGGGTGTAAATGCTTAATAGGAAAGCTAACAATTGGTTAATGCAAACATGTAGGGTAGCCTAGCAGTGTGAAATTAATTTGGGACAAGTCATACACCGCATGTTCTGATTTCAATTCTTGTTACTGACTCTCGAGTTTAACTAATATCAATAGTTAGTAAGTAATTACATGTATCTAAAATTTATAGTTAGCAAGTGATTATAAGTGGACATGTATACTCTAGAGTCNACTGTGTTCAATCATTTATCCTATTTGGGTAGATTATACATATTTGTAAGACCTATCGATAAGAGTAATGTAATTTATTTTCCTTGACTATTATACACGTATTTTATCCAATCNAGTGTGTTCAATCATTTATCCTATTTGGGTAGATTATACATATTTGTAAGACCTATGGATAAGAGTAATGTAATTTATTTTCCTTGACTATTATACACGTATTTTATCCAATCTACTATCATATTTGATTTATAAATTAGCCTCCAACTCATTCCTAACAGAAAAAAAATTTAATTTCACATCTATTTTTTTAACAACTCAATTAAATATTTTTAAATATATTGTAACCATAAAATATATACCTTAGTAACCATTCAAGTTAACAACATAAAATGTTTAAAATATTAACGACGGAAATCTCTTGATCTAGGGGTGGGCATATTCGTAAATTCCATTACATATCCCGTCTGACAAAAAAATATTCTAGCTCCTCCTTGAGTTTTATTTAACCTATGTACGTGGGTTAAAGTTGATTTTTCAAACCGGATTAAGATAAAATTTGAATAAGATTTCCTATACATTTTTTTCTTACCAAACATGAAATATATAAACCTCATATATTTCTCTATTATATCTTATTACAGTTATCTACCTTTAACCTGCGATTCAAACATACACCAATTCTTTTAACAAACTGGTTCTAATGAGACATTGCCTCAAGCAATTATATGTGATATTTTATAACCGATCATTTATTATGTAATTGACTAAATTGTCCATTGATCATGTATACGTGATATTTTATTAGGAATAGAAAAATCATTTGACATAATTAACCTAGACTAACATATATGAAACATTCCCCTTGGATTTGGCCATTTCCATGTATATGAGTTTAATACTCTGGACCACTTTCGGGTCGAGATATGAATTTCGAGTTTAAAAACCCTAACTAAACATGAGATTAAGAGGTCTATCATATTATTTACTTAAACCCACCTAAACTTATCAAACAAACATGTCCTAAATGCTGCTGATTTATGCTTTTTCTGTTGATCGTGATTAAAATCATTTAACTTTGTATAGTTTTTTTTCTCATAAAACATAGTGTGGTTTGTGAGGAACAATTTACTGTTTTTTTTCGTCTTGGAGTGGCAAAAACCATGCCCAACGAACTTCACGAATTGTTACTTTTCTCTTTATCTTTGATGAACTACTGAAATCTACAACAAGTGCGGTCTTGCTAGTGAACCACAAACTGAGCTCCATAGTCAACTTACGAAACAATACTTGATTAATAACACTTTGCTCAGAAATCCACAGAACCGTGCCCTTGAAAATTGA